CTTCTCCTTCTCCTTCTTTTCCTCCTCCTCCTCTTCTTCCTTCTTCTCCTTCTTCTCCTTCTCCTTCTTCTCTTCCTCTTCCTTCTCTTCTTTTCTCCTTCTTTCTCCTTCTCTTCTCTTCCTTCCTTCCCTTCCCTTCTCCTTCTTTCTCTCCTTCTTCTTCCTTTTCTCTTCTTCTCTCTTCTCCTTCTTCTCCTTCTCCTTCCCCTTCCCCTTCTCCTTCTTCTTTTCTTCCTCCTCTTCTTCTTCTTCTTCTCCTCCTTCTCCTCCTCCTCTTCTTCCTTCTTCTCCTTCTCCTCCTTCTCCTTCTCCTCCCCCTTCCCCTTCCCCTTCCCCCCCCTTCCCTTCTCCTTCTCCTTCTTCTTTTCCTCCTCCTCTTCTTTATTTAGAGAGTTTAAAGTATCTGAAAAAAGGGACTAATCCTTCAACTTGTAGGTCACATGATTTGGAAGTCTATCTTGATTTTTTTTAGAAAGGTTGGAAACAGGTATTACATTTAAAAAGCATTTTGCTCTTTAATAGAAAATGCAGCTTTGAAGACTCTTCTCCAGCAAGTTTGTTGACTATGCATTTGATAAAGTTATACAGGGTTCTATAATAGATGAAACTATAAAGGCAACTAGTCAATGCTTTTTCATGAGTGTAGATACCAATCAAACATTTGTTATTAGTTACTCGCTATGTACCAGGTGCTATCCTAGACACTGTGAATGCTGTGGCAAGAATGAAACAGTCCTTGCCCTTGAAGATATTATAATCTAGCTAGAAGAAACAATATTCGAATGTAGCAGGAGGGATGATTGATAAACTCCTGGTGAACTGAATTTCTTCTAGCCCAACTGATAAAATTATAGGATATAAAGGGAAGGACACAGATAGATACAATGAAGTGTGAAGGCTTTAGAGGAAATGTGAAGAAATGTTTATGTTTTTAAGGAAGTAAGAAGTTCCTTTATCCAGCTTGATGGAATTATAGAGCAGCTAGCTAGCCATTGGACAACCCTTTAAAAGTGTTCTCTCTGGCAGTAGAAAAAAGAGTCAGTTACCAGGGATGAACCCAGCTCTTGAGAAAGAATTGATTTTTACCTTTTGCCTTGTACCCTTCAATGTCTAGTGAATGGGGAAGGGAGTTTTTTTCTCCTCCCCACTCCATTGGTAATGACACCTAGCAGTGGAGCAACTCATGCAGGCTCTCACAGTCATTTGGTCAGTCAATAAACATTTATGAAACACCTGCCTGATACCGTCCTAAGCTCTTGCCCTCGAGTTGCTTATAATCTAATGGAGGAATGACAACATGCAAAAGAAAGGTAAAAAGAGAAGGAGGGGGAAAGTATCTGGTGTGGGGGCGTAATGGCAAAGTTGAGAGCAGTATGGCTGGGTAGGAAATAAAGAGATGGCTGGCTTTAGAATTCCATTTTTAGAGTTGAGAGAAAACTAGCCCTGAGGAGTCTAGTTGAGTTTTGAAGAGGAGAAAAACAGTACAAAGTAACCCAGCTGAGCGACCTGCCCAGTAGAGACATAGCATGCAAGGGAGCCATGTGAAGACATCATGAGAGAAGAGAAAGCACCTCAGATCCCTGCAGCACTAGGGAAGTGAGTTTTCTCAGCCATGTACATTGTGTGTGTGTTTGTGTGTGTGTGTGTTTGTGTGTGTGTGTGTGTGTGTGTGTGTGTGCCTTTCTACTAATGTACTCTACCTGGTTGTCCATTTTTCACACTGACACTGTATATATTTGTGGGAAAGTGTGTCCTGAGTTTATGGGGATGGATATTTTGTAGCTACTGTTCTTGTGATACCATCTCAATAAATGCCTTTGCTTTGAGCTAATGTGTCTTCTGGCAGACTATTAAAGGTAAACACACCAGTGGGAGCTTGTGAGCTCTTGTTTCAAGAGTGCAAGCCCACAGCCTCGGGGTGGTTGTTCTCTGGGGAACTCCAGGAGGGCTGCAAAGGCTGCATCCAGTTTGCTTTGGTACAAGGTAGGGGCAATGGATGAGTCACTCCCCTTCTTCTGCTGAGCTGGATCCTTGCGGGATGTGATGTCCTGGCTGATGGGTCAGTCTGTTGCTGTGCCGGATCACACAGGTCATTCGGCTGCTATGGCTCCTTCTGGGGTCTGGCTGCAGCTGCTGCTGGCTCTGGTTACTGCTTGGATCTCTCACGGCTTTGATGGTTCTCCCAGTTTTATTGGTTGCCTGGGTGGTTCCTTCCCAGAGTGCTTGCTTGCCGAAGATTAGGAAGGGAAGCAGGTATCACATGAACCTCACTCTTATCTGAAACAGACAAAGGAGAATTGAACACATTCTTGTGTGTGTGCCTGCGTGCTCCTGTGTGTGTTGTGTGTGTGTGTGTGTGTGTGTGTGTGTGTGTGTGTACAAAGTCTGGAGCAGCAATACATTAAACTCAACAAAGAAAAAAAGTGAGGATAATAGGGAAAGGAAACAGATTTCAGAGGAAGGATGGAGTTGGGGAGGGAATGGTCACAAGCAAAACAAATTTCAACTGGATGGTAAAGAGAGGATTCAGATATAAGGAAGTGTAAGAACCCAGTGAATGGGGCCAGAGAGGGAGGTAGGAGGGACAGTGGAGTGGAAGCAGATGGCTTTAATTACAGATCACTAGCTTTGATCACATTCCTTCTTCTTTGTGAAGGGGAGGTCACTGAGAGGAAGAAGTATGAGGACACAAAGGAAGAAAGTACCCAATTAACAATCCTAACTGTGACTGTGAATGAGATGAACTCATCTATAAAATGGGTATATGGAAAGGAGTGGGTAAGGGCCAACAATACCAGCCTCTTTTTAGAAGATGGTCACCGACAAGAGAGAACCAGCACAAACCTTCCCATTTTACTGACAGTCTCAGGAGCAGCTGGTTGGACAGTTTGTGCAGAGGCAAAATGTGAGATGCCTCATTAGTAGCCTTGCTTTACATTCTGATGAGGATGAGATATTAGCCATCAGGTAGATTATAATAGTAGTTGTAGGTTAAGTTTCTGAATCCAACAAGCCCTCCAACATTGACTATTCCATGGGTGACATTTTGGTGTTGTTCAGTTGTTTCAGTTGTGCCTGACTCTTTGTGACTATTTAGGGTTTTCTTTCTTTTTTTTTTTTTGGAGGAGTGAAGCAATTGGGGTTAAGTGACTTGCCCAGGTTCACACAGCTGGTGAGTATCATGTGTCTGAGGCCACATTTGAACTCAGATCCTGCTGACCCCAGGGCCAGTGCTCTATCCACTGTATCACCTAGCTACCCCCTATTTGGGGTTTTCTTGGCAAAGATAATGAAGTGGTTTGCCATTTCCTTCTTCAGCCCATTTTGCAGATGAAGAAACTGAGGCAAACGGGATTAAGTGACTTGCCCAGAGTCACCCAGCTAGTCAGTGTCTGAGGTCAGATTTGAGCTCAGATCTTCCTGACTCCAGGCCTGGCGCCTTGCACGCTATGATGCTACCTAGCTGCTCTGGGTGGCATTTTGAATGCTCTTAATTTCAGGATCTGACGCCTCCAACAGCATCTGTAACTTTCCAAACTAAGTTGCTGGTTGTTGAAAGCAACAAGCACGTGACTTTGGAGCATCCCTATGCAACTAGACTTTCTAGCCAAGAGAAAGAACTTTGTAAATAAAAACGTTAGGATTTCTTTTTCTGCCCTTCTTTTGGATTCTGGGCATCCTAGACCATGGACACAGCTGAAGTTGCTTTCTACTTTCAATTTTGTTTTGGTTTTAGAGAGGTTTGAGAGGTCGTGGAGATCAGAGGAAATGTCTAGTGGTCTGTCTTGCTGCTCAGGTGACCCAGAAGGCTCCGGAAAGCAACAAAAACAATTAGGAAAGAGACATTGCCCTGTCCTAGAATCTGCACCCCCCTTACCCTCCAACTTGAGAGAATGGCTTGTGACTGGTTTTCATCCTGAGTCCCTCTGTGTGTGCACACATTTGCTTTGGATGAGTAGTAGTGAACAAAGGTGGTGAGTAGAGATTTACAGAGCCTGAAATAGAGGAATAATTCAGCTCATCTCAATTCATTCGATCCCCCCCAAACAACCAAAGTGATATTCCTAATGGATCATTCTGCTCGTGTCATTTTCCTGCTTGAAAAGTTCCGGTGGCTTCCTCATGCCTCTAGGATAAACTAGGACCTCTTCTTGGTATTTGAAGCCCCTTATAGACTGGCTCCGGTCTACTCTTTCGAGCAGATTGCACATTATTCTCCTTCATGCACTCTATGCACCAGCCAAAGTGTTCTCCAGTCTCCAAAGACCCTCTGGTCTTCATACATTCCACTCTTTCTCCTATCACCAGATCTTTGCTCAGTGTCTTCCATGACCATAACATCCTCTCTCTTCCCCTCTGGCTTGTAGAGTCTCTGGCTTCCTTCAAAGCTCAGCTCAAATGGCCCCAGTTGTCAAGCCTGCCTTCTCACCTCCTGATTTCCTTTCCATGCTATTTATATTGACTTCTTTGTTTACAGGATTCCCCTCTTCCCCCCATAGAATGTAAATTTGTGGAGGGCAGGGGATATTTCATGTTGGGATTTTATGTCTGCAGGACCTGGCATAGAGTTTGGCACTTAAATGCTTGTTCTCGCTATTTAGTGTCTATCATGTGCTGGGCACTGTGCCAGGCACTGTAGACACAAAGACACAAAAAAAGTCTTTGCCCTCAGGGAGCTTACACTCTCAGCCCAGAAAACAAAGGTAAGAGAATGAGGCCAGATGAGAAGGGGACTAAGATGGTGACCATTGGAAACTGATTTAATCAGAGGCACATAAATGATCCAGAATGGAGGAAAGCCATGTCCTGGAAGCTCTGAGGACTTGGAAGGAATTTCATGGGAGATAGCCAATGCATGGGAAAAGATTTTAGGAAATGAAAGGGAATTTAAATATAAATTTGAAAAACAAACTTATCCAATATTGAGTAGTGGGAGAGAAATGAATGTATTAGCTGACCTATCCTGTAACAGAAGAGTTGTAATACTTATTTTCTTCCAGGGATGCCTCTGGGTCCATTCACAAAGGCAGGCATCTTGAAGCTGCTACTGACCTCCCTCCTCCTATCCCAAGGTTTCATGAAATTTCACAAGGTGAGAATGTTACTGTTCCTGAACTCCCTTAAGGGGTTTCTTCCCATCCCAAAATTGCCCCATTTCTCCCTGAAACTCATAATTGAGGTGGGGAATGCTCTAGATGGAGCCTCCTTCTCCTTCCTCTGGGTCCAGCTCCTAAAATGGGATGCTCAAGAAGAAAAATGGATATATTGGAATGGAAATATCCTTTGCTCTTTCTTCTGAGGCTTCCATCTCATAAAATTGCCTCAATATCTTTATTTCTCAGGTCAACTGGTATTACCTTAACTAAGCTTCTGTATGGGTCTATTTTTATTGCAAAGCACAGTACTCTAGACATACAAAATCACCATTACTCATACGTAAGTTCCCATACTTAATAATAGGTAGAAGGAAATCAACAGACATTAATATTTAAATATTCAAATAATCAAATTTATACAACAGGAACTATTTGGACTTATAAAGGAAAAACACACAGGAAACCTGTTTAAATTTTTAAAATTTCTTGAAAACCTTAAAAAAAAGTTAAATTTTTGGAAAAATATTAAAATTTTTTGGGACGCTTTTAAAATTTAAAAATTGTTTTAAGATAGCCAAAGATTCCCAAGTATAAAATTCCTTCAGTGGGTCCCTGTTAATGCAAAGGGCACCCCCATAAATTCCAGACGAGTGCCCATAGTGTAGTCCAGGTATGGTATGGCTCATCTATATGGGCAATGATATGGCACCCACACTCCCTTTCTGGCTCACTCATCCAACCCACCCTGCCCCCACAAATGCATATTTGGCATCCTTCAGGGGTCAGGGGGCAAGCCATGGCCACAACCACATAACTATGGCAAAAATTCTCTCTGTGGGTATACTTCTACTGCTTACCACTGAGTCCCCACTGGTGTTTCCCATTTATAAAAAAAACCAGTCTCCATGATACTACAAACTCTTTAAAAAATTATGGCTATCTTTTGCTGTTGTTGTTGTTTTTATCTCACCAATGTTTCCCCTACTATACCTGTACTCATCTCTTATAACAAAAAATATTTTAAAATAAAAACAAGAGAAAAATCAGCAAAAGTGGTCCATACATTGGAAAACATCTAAAAAATATGTGCAATGTATTTTCTTGTGGATTTCAGATGGTTCTAGACCATAAAGATAGTTAAAATAGCTTTATCTTTGGTTCATAATTTCTATTTTAGAGAGATCTGAGAAGTCTTGGGGATCAGAGAAAATATCTAGTCCTCCATTTCATTGTTCACATGACCCAGAAGTCTGACTTTATTTTGATATCTACAGCTTGAGAAAGAGAAACTCCCTCAGAACTCCTGAGAAGATCTGAGGTGTTTAATAGGCTTCCATTAGATGGGAACTGCTTGTCACCCAAATTATACTTTGAAGGAAATGAGAGATGAATTCTCTGAAGCAGAGATGAAGAGATATAATTTCAGAGAGATCACCAACAATTGATGGAACAGGAAAAAGGCTTCTTGTAGGTGGTGATGCTTGAAGTGAGCCTGGAAGAGAGCTAAGGAGGTAGAGGTGAGGAGTGAAAGCGTCTCAGGCTTGAGGGACAACCTGTGCAAAGGAAGTTGAAGATACAATGGCATGGGTAAGGAGCAGCAAGTTGGCTGAAGGATAGAGCGTGTGAGGGGGAGTGATGTGTAACCAGCCTAGAAAGATCGACTCTAGCCAGATTGTGGCAGTCTTGGCATTTTTATTTTATCCTAAAGGCAATGTGAAACCACTGAAACTTTTTGAGGATAGGAGTAACATGGTCCAGTCTTTGCTTTAGGAATATCACTTTGGCAGCTCTGAATGGACAATGGATTAGGGAGTGGATAGACTGGAAACAGATAAACCAACCAGGAAGTTTTTGCATCAGTCCATCGAGAGGTGATGATGGATATAGTGGGAATAAGTGTGCTAACAGCATGAGCAGCTCCATTTTGTCAGCAGTTGTTACGCAGGCTGGTTTGTTTCTGTTGTTGTTTGTTCTGGGAATGAGATAAGTACTTGGGTTGGAGTATTTCAAGTAGTAATTTGACAAAGACGTGTACGCCTTTTGACAAATGACTACTAATGATGTATGTGTGTCTTCTAAATCTGCTAAACAACTGGAAAACCCTTACTACTGATGTTAGGAAACTAAAGTTTTTATTGCTAATTCCCTTTCATCACAAGCTTAGGTAATCAATTACCAATCAGAACTTAGATGTACCTCATAAGTGCCCTTAGCCAGAGCCATAAAAACCCACCATAGGCTACAGCCATTGGTCTGCTTCTGGGTGGCTATTTGAACTGACTCCCTCATTTCCCACACTAAGGGAGATCCGAGCACACTACGCTTTCTCAAGAACGGTGCTGAGTGTTGGAGATTTTTCATCATGCCACCTTGGAGGGAGACCAATGGCCTCCAGCTGAGAAGAGAGAGAACCCTGTTGTGAGCACCAGTATGAGACCTTTGAGAATCATGCTGGTAATTTGTTATTAGAGGGATTGATGTTTGTATCGTTGAGTAGATAATTGCATGATTAATAAAGAATGATTTCAGGCATGGGTGAATACAAGTCTGATTAAATGTTATTTTCTATCTAGTCAGCATATAGAATGGTAAGCCAGCTCCTCACGCACTGTGAGTTTCATCTGGTATTGAGGATGGGATTCTGGCAAAACAAAAACAAAACAAAAAACAAAAAAAGGTCTGTTAGGACAGAAAGGAAAGAGAGAAGTAGGTTTAAGATTGATTTTTGTTTTTTTCCTCTTAACCAGGGTCATCATGACACTTGTACTTCTCCATCCTTGAGATGAGCTCCTGTTAAAGAAATATTCAGAAGGGGAATGAATGAAGCCTTATTTTGAGCTCAGAATAGAATCGTTTAATCTTAAGAAAAAGGTTTTTTTTTGAGTGAAAGTGTCCTACTAAACCCACGTACATGGATGGAATAGAGATAAAGCAGAACCTTGTAAGTAACTGCAGTGTGTAAGGCAGATCTGAGGGAGTACTCCAAGAAGCGAGGGTGGCCAAGATAAGGATACCAGACCACCTTCAGAGGTCTTATAACTGGTAAAGTCAAAAATGAAAATTTAAAAGTATTCCCTTGCAAAATGTTGAGGATTTCCTACCTCAAAAATGAGAAAAGAATAGACCAAATTTTACAGGAAAAGTATATCTCTCCCCATGAAAACAGAAAATAGCTAAGAAATTATAAAAATAAAGAACAGATGGTTTAGTTTTTATTAGAGACATTATGTCAAATAGCCCACAGGCAACAGGAAGCCAGAGCAGCAAGGAAAAGGCAAAGAAATCATAGTGATTTGATGGTGGGTCAAGTGATGCGCTGCCTGGGGGGTATTAGAATATGGATGACCCCTGGTGGGTCTCATGTCCTTTATCAACCTGCAGCATTTTTAAGAATGAAGAGGAAATAGTTACTAGATCAGAAACTAGAGTCTCTAATAGAACTGAGCTGGGCCAAATCTGTGAAGACTTTGTTTAAAAAAATGAAGAAGAAAGAAAAAAAATGAAGAAGCAGACGCCCCAGTTACTGAGTCTGTCAATCAAGGCACCGAGTTCATTAGGTTAGATCACAGTGATTGTTTTTAAGATGATTAGTAAGGATGAAGGACTGGTCCAAACCATTGAAACTATAGTAATAGAAGGTAGAGGATTAGTGGAAGAGATTCTCCTACACTGGATTTTTTGTGTTGGGAGGAGGCGATAGCCTATTTCCCATACTAATGAATACACAGTGAAGCCTTGGGAAATTCTGGTGGAATGGATATATTTGGACTTGATCCAGGATAGAGAAAGGCTAGGACTAATAGATGGCATTGAGAATGAGCAGAAAATGTTGTTTAGAGCATCTTGGAACAGTAACCTAACTGCACTCTTTTTTTTTTTTAATTTTTAGGCAGTTGGAGTTAAGTGACTTACCCAGGGTCACACAGCTAGTAAGTGTCAAGTGTTTGGTCTGAGGCTGGATTTGAACTCAGGTCCTCCTGACTCCAGAGCCGGTGCTATATCCACTGTGCAACCTAGCTGCCCCTCTAACTTCACTCTTTTCCTTCTTGGGGTGGGGGGGAACCCAAGACTGTGGAACACATTCATGACAGCTCTGAGACCAAGTGAGGATGCTACCTCAGAAATGAAATAGGTTCTTTCTCTGTAGAATAGGAAACCAAATGAGGGTAATAATGCCTTTCAGGGTCAAAACAATAGGAACCAAGGCAATCCTGCGAATTATGGCCGGGGACAAGGTAAGTCCCACAGTGAATGAGGCCATGTAAGAGGAGAGCTGTGATTTAAATAGGGCAGCTAGGTGGCGCCATAGTGAACAGAGGGCCTGGCCTACAGTCAGGAAGACTCCTCTTCTGAGTTCAAATGTGGCCTCAGACACTTACTAGCTGTGTGACCCTGGGCAAGTCACTTAACCATGTTTGCCTCAGTTTCCTCATCTACAGATGAGCTGGAGAAGAAAATGACAAAGTACTCCAGTGTGTTTGCCAAGAAAACCCCAAATGGTATCATGAAAAAAAATGAAAACAATGGCTTAAATTAAGGCAGAGATCTATTAGTGGAAAATCACTGTCAGAATTAGGAGATATTGAGAGAGAGAGAAAAAAAAACCTGACTTCTCCCTCAGAATCAAAGAAACAGTAGAAATTTTTTATTCCTTTGGCCTCGAGTATAGGTCGATGAAACTAGTACCTTAGCTTTACTGGGAAAGGATCTAATCTTTTCATAGGGGTTTGGTGGTCCCCTTGTTAAGTTCTGACAGGTGGACAATCACCTCTTTCTGGAACTGGTTATTTGGCATAAGAAAGGTAGAGACCAGTACATGCTGGCACTATTGTTCAGTCATTTCAATTGTGTCCAACTCTTCCTGACCCCATTTGGGGTTTTCTTGGCAAAGATACTGGAGTGGTTTGCCATTTCCTTCTCAGCTCATTTTACAGATGAGGAAACTGAAGCAAACAGAAAAACAGATTTGGCCAAGGTTGTACAGCTAGTTAGTGTCTGAGACCGGATTTGAACTCAGGAAAATGAGTCTTCCTGACTCCTGGCCAATTACTCTATCATCTATCCACTCTATCCATAGCACCACCTAGCTGCCCACGGGGCACTATTCAGCAATAGTCAATAAACATTTATGAAACACTATGAGGCAGGCAATGTGCTATGCACTGGGGATAGAAATATGAAATAGGAAGACATTCCCTGCCTCAGGGATCTTACAATCTAATGGGGGAAAACAACCCACAAAAGAAAGCTGAAAGACTTGGGGAGGAGAAGGTGTGGGGACAGATGGTGGAGAAGCTAAAAAACCATCTAAACTATTAGGTACTGGTTCACAAATGACCATAATACTAGACTCAGTAAGAGAAAATGCAAAAAAACAAAGAAACAAAACAAATCTCTGAACCAGTCTTGGATAAATGGGTTCAGAGACTTCAGAACCCCAGGCTAGGAAGTATACACAAAGTTAAAGATCACAGAGTGGCCCAAGGAGATCTGTAGGTATTGCAGGCTCAGGAGAAGCAATCATTGCATGGATGGATGAAGTAAAAACTTTGCCCTATGTCAGAATCTGAAAATTAGCATTTAATTATTGGTAGAAAAAGCCTGATGGGATCTGGTATTCTTGTCTCTCTGCCCCAAAATTGTTAAGGAAATTAATGAATTCTTGAAGGACTTGGAACAGGAAGGAATAATTCAGAAAACAATTAGTTTGTATGATTTCCCTCAGGGTCAGAAAAAAAGGCAAGTGACTTTTCTCAGCAATACAAGGATCTAAGACATCTCCAAAAGTCTCGTGATGGAAAATGCTATCCTCATCCAGAGAAAGAACTATGGAGTCTGAATGCAGATCGAAGCATACTGTTTGCTCTTTTTTTTTCTTCTGTTTTGTTTCCTCTTTCTTGTGGTTCCTCCTATTGGTTCTAATTCTTCCTTACAACATGACTAATGTGAAAATATGTTTAATAGGAATGTTTATATAGAGCCTTTATCAGATTGCATGCCGTCTTGGGAAGGGAGGTGGGGAAGGAGGATGAGAAAATTTAAAACTCAAAAGCTTATTGATGGAGGTGATTGTTGAAAACTAAAAATAAAATTTTTTTTAAAAAAGGCAAGTGAATGGAGAATTTACAGTGGCCTACAGAAATTTAATGCTGAGACTGAACCCATTAATGGAGCCCTCCTCAATATTTTGGAAATGATAAACAGGAAGTGGGAGGAATTACAGAACATTAACTACCCAAGATGCAATGGCCACTTGCCCCGCAGAAACTCTAAAAAGGGCAATCATCAGTTAAATTCCTAGTGATGATATGGATTTTGGAGGGAATTCCTCAACCAGTAGCAGACAAGATTTTAGCTCTAAATCCCCCAAGAGGTCAAAGAGGTAGAAAAGTCAGCAGGATTATTTGGCTTTTGGAGAAGCCATATTCCATGTTTAGGTATGCTGTTAGCCCCAGTTTATGAGGCAAACAGAACATTAAATTAAGTGGGGCCCCAAATAATGATATGCGTTAGAGCAGGTAAGAGAGACTGCACAATAGGTCAGTTCCAATCTCCTTTGGTTAGAAGTTAAATAGTTATGGAGGAGATTTTTATGACTTGGTCTCTGTGGGCCAAGCTAAAGAAGGACAATGAGAAAGCTTATATTGCAGTAAGATTTTGGTGCAGGAAAATGACTGGCCCACAGACTTACTATACTATTATGGAAAAAAAAAATTTGCCCTGTTAGAATATCACATCATTATAGAAAGAGAGGGATTGAGTCAAGGCATGCTGATGACATTATAGACACTGAGCCCTATATTAACATGGGGAAGGGGCAAGTAGGTGGCGTGGTGGATAGAGCACCGGCCCTGGATTCAGGGGGACCTGAGTTCAAATGCGGCCTCATAACACTTACTAGCTGTGTGACCCTTAACTTAACCCCATTTCCTAGCCTCCCCCCCAAAAAAAGGAAAAAAATGTGGTGAAAACCTATATTAACATGGGTCAAAATCCCCCTCTCTCCCTCACCCCCCAATATGTTGGGACCACCACCGCTCAGTGAGTACCAAAGTGGCAATGACTTATAGCCAAGAGAGGCAGTGCTGGGGAAACAGAGAATGGCCTTCGTTCGTATGACAGGCCACTCTGATCTCAGCAACACTGGTCCTTGCGTGACCAACCAGCTCCATCCATTTCTTCCCAGCCCCATCTCCTAACATGCTCACTGGCATCCACTCATCCACATCAAGGTCTGTGCCAGCCAATCAGAACCCATGTTCCTTTGTCTCTGCAGAAAATTGGGGAGATTTGCAGGGTTCACCTGGAATGCTTCAGCGAGTGCTGTGTCCATAATGAGAAAATGCAGAAGCTTTGTACCAGGAGGACGCTTTTCATGCAGTGCAATAAATGGAGGAAGGTGAGTCGCAGCTTTGTCCCTGGGTAGGTGAGGGGCCACAGCTGGTGGGGGAAGGGGAAGGCGAGAGGGCGCCATCTTCCCGTATCAGCCCATTGCTGCTGCTTTCTCCTTTACCTAGAGAGCAAGGTGGAGGACAAGGAAGGGGAACCCAGATTGCTGCTCCTGTTTTTTTAAATTGCTTTTTAAAAATTTAAATTTTTAAATTGCTGTATTTTATCTTTAATTGCTTTCTCCTTTATTTTTAAAAGTTATTGATTATTTTAAATATTTCATTTCCTCCAAAGTACATGTTAAAACACTTTTTAACATTTTTTAAAACTTTTTAACATTTTTAAAGAAGTTTTGAGGGGCAGTTAGGTGGTGCAGTGGATAGAGCACTAGCCCTGAAGTCAGGAGGACCTGAGTTCAAATCTAGCCTCAGACCAAACACATGACGCTTACTAGCTGTGTGACCCTGGGCGAGTCACTTAACCCCAATCGCCTAATTAAAAAAAAAAGTTTTGAATTCCAAATTCTATCCCTCCCTTTCTCCCTCCCCTCCTCTCTCCCTGAGACAGTAAACAACCCAATACAGGTTATACATGTACAAAAGAGTTATTGATTATTCATAATGGAGAGACAGCATGGCTATGGTGGATAGAGAATTAGCTTTGGAGCCAGGGAGACCTGAGTTCAAATCCTGATTCTGACACATACTGGCAATGTAAATCACGTAATTTGTCAGTGTCTAAGACAGTGGTGTCAAATTCAGATAGAAACCAGGGCCATTAAACTAAGGATCTCTGTGCTTAGAGACCCACAGATTACATTATCTATGTTCTATTGTATTTGTTAAATATTTCCCAATTACATTTTTTGGGGGAGGCAATTGGGGTTAAGTGACTTGTCCAGGGCCACACAGCTAGTAAGTGCCTGAGATCATATCTGAACTCAGGTCCTTTTGATTCCAGGGCTGGTGCTCTATTCACTGTTCCCCTCCCGATTACATTTTAATTTGGTTCTGTTGTGTCTGGGGGCATGCCCTCATTTGATATCTCTGCCCCAGGCCGCCATCTTAAGGCCATAGTTTGTGGTGAAAGCTCTGACCTCTCTGCGGTGGTAGAAGAGATTCCTCAATGGATGGGACCTGCCCACGTGAATGGAAATTGTAGGACCCTCCCTGCCCCCCATTGGCAATGATGAATGGTGTTGACTGAGTGCTGATCCTCACAAGGCCCAGTGAGCTAAGCATTGTAGGTCTTAAAACCCCCATTTTACAGATGAGGATATCAAGTGATACGCCCAGGATCACAACGTGTAAGTTTCAGAAGCCAGGATTTGAACCCGAATCTCTCCTGACTTCAAGCTCAGTGTCTTTGCCAGTCCACCACCCTATGTCAGACCCTTTCCAACCACAAAAATACCTTCCCCTGAAGACAGCTGAGTGAGACAGGTGCGAATCCTCCTACCACCTGATGCTGCTTCCCACTTGGGGAGCTGATCATGCGCTGACAAAGGATGTGAGGCAGTGGGGTAGTGGGTAGAAGGGCTGGCCTCGGAGTCATGAAGAACCCTTTCAGCCACATCCTGGCATGTCATTTACCTTCTCCCGCTCTATGTAACACCCTTAGTTACAGAAAATTGTTTTTTGTTTGTTTTGCTTTTTGGTGAGGCAACCGGCGTTAAGTGACTTGCCCAGGGCCACATAGCCAGTAAGTATCATGTGTCTGAGGCTGGATTTGAACTTGGGTCTTCCTGAGTCCAGGGCCGGAATTACAGAGAATCTTCAATGAGGAAGTTCTCCCTCTTCCCCTCCCCCCCAACTCCCTATTTCCAAAGTCACAAATCTGGTATGAGTAAGATGTTTCCTCATTATTTGTGTTGGGGAGTGGAGAAGGGGAGGAACCAAATCTCCCCCACTTATTCTCTGGTGATGCCAGCATCATCTGTTGTCCTTGGCTTGAATATTTCCAAGTAATGGGGGGGAGGGCACTGGATTTTATTGAATAGAGAAGGTGACATTAGGCAGCTGAGTGGGGTGGATGGACTGGAGTAGGGAAGAGGCAGAGAGAACAATGGGAGGCTATTGTAATAATTCAGGTGAGAGAAGATGACCTCACTCAGACAAGTGTGCCAGGGTAGTGGCTGTCTGAGTGGAGAGAAGGGGACGCATGGAAGAGATGTCGGGAAGGTAGAAATGACAAGATTTGACAACAGATGGGATGTATGGGACCGATGTGAGTGAGGAATTGAGGATGACTTCTAAGTTTCAAGCCTGGATGGCTGAGAGAATGGCGGTGCCCTTGACAGAAAAGAGAAGGTGGGAAGACGTAAGGGTTTGGGGGGAGGGGAAGATAATGAATTCTATTTTTGATATGTTAAGTTTGAGATGTTTCTGGGATGTCCAGTCCAACTTATCCAAAAGGTAGCTGGTGAGAAAAGAGTGGAGCTGAGGAGAAAGATTAAGGCTGGAATATAAATCTGGGTATTACCTTCATAGAGATGATGTTTGAAACCCACGGGAGCTGATGAGATCACCAAATAAGATAGTTTGGATGGAAACGATAAGAGAGCCTCAGAACAAAGCCTTGGGGGACCCCAACAGTAGGTTGAAGTGACATGGATGAAGATGCAACCAGAGATTTAGGAGAGGCCAGACAGGGAGGAAGAGAACCAGGAGAGTGCCATGTCATGAAAACCTAGAGAGAAGAGAGTATAAAGGAGAAGAGGGTGAAGAAACAGCGTCAAAGATAGCAGAGAAATCAAGAAGGACGAGGATTAAGAAAAGGACATTTGATTTGTCATTATGAAATCATTGTAATTTTGGAGAGAGAAGTTCTGATTGAATGAGGAGGACAGAAGCCAGCCTGCAGAGAATTAAGAAGAGAGTGAGAGGAAAGGAAATGGTTTGGAGATGACCTTCTCAAGGAGGTTAGTCACAAAAGGGAGCAGAGATACAGAGTTACTGGGGGTAAAATAATCAAGTAAGGGTTTTTGTTTTGGGTTTTGTCTTTTTTTTTTATTTTTAGAAAGAGGGACACCTGGGCACGGTTATAGGCAGTGGGGAAGCAGCCAGTAGATGCAGAGAAATTGAAGACTATAGAGAAAGTGAGGGTGATAGTGGGGACAATCTGTTTGGAGAAGATGGGAGAGGATGAAATCAATAGAGAGGGGCTTCCCTTGATGGAGAGAAGGGACACCTTCTCATGACTGATGTCATGAAAGAGGAGATGGGGAGGGTATATATCTGAACAATTTGAGGTGGAGTGCAGAAAAGGGTGAGGTTCGTCTTCATGGTGCAGAGATGCGAGGTCTGGCAGAAAAGAAACACTGCTTTGGTCCTGCAGAGCAACTGGTAACGTATAATTGCTTGATATTCTTTACCTGGAAACCTCTCGTCGTGGTTTCCCCCTGAGATCACCTTCCATTTCTCTATCTTGTATGTACATAGTTATTTTCATGTCATCTTCCCCTTTAGAATATAAGCTCCTTGAGGTCCCAGACTGTGCTTTTGACATTCATCTCCATGGCTTAGCACAGTGCCTGGCACATAGTAACAGATCTTAATGAGTGTTTGCTGATTGATGGTTTCTAACTGTTTGTTTATGTGCCCTGATTCTCTTGTAGAATGCAATAACCCAGCAAGAGTGTTTGGCACAAATACTGTTTGTGTCGTGCTGCTGACTCAGCTTTCTTTTATCCATGCCAATTCTTCTCCATGGTCTTTTTTGATCTTATAACCAGTAGCGGAGTTGCTGGGTCAAGGGACTGAACAGCTAAGTCATTTTCCTTGCTCAGGCCTAAATTGTTTGGGGCTCCTGACTTGACTGGGACAGTCAAAGTTGGGGTGTGTGTCAACACCTAACCTACCTATTCCTTTAGCCTAATGGATATTTCTGCCATCAGTACTCTGAGTGCCAGAGCAACTGTTGCGTTACTACCAGCCCTAGTCCCCGGACATTTTGTGTCCCAAAGACAATTTTCCTGCAGTGCATACCTTGGAGAAAGGTAGGTCTGAAACTTCTTGTTTAGGGGGTCTATTTGGAAAGAAGGGCAACCCACTGGTTCACCTCAACCCTTCATCTTGCCACTTTCTCTAGTCTTTGGGGACTCTGGGGTGGGGGGAGAGAATTTTAAGAACAGAGGATGAGGGAGCAGGGTTCCTCTGTGGGAGAAGAATCCAATCCATGTATTTTTGTAGAAGGAAGGAGACGTCTGCTCTAGTCATAAAGAGTGCCAAAGTGAATGCTGCCTCAACACATACGAAGATATTCTCCGTTGTATCCCAAAGACAGGAATGCTCACAAAATGTTTACCTCTGGTGGGTCATCACAACTTACCAAGAATTTAAAAATCTCTTATTAAGGTCCTGTTATGTGCCTGGTACCAGTGGTAGATACTGGCAATAACAAACATGAGATAGTCGCTACCCTCAGGGAGTTAACATTCTACAGGAAAAGCAAGTCTTTATATATAAATGAATACAAAGCATATACATTGTGGGGAGGGGGCTGCTGACAGCTGGGGAGATCTTGAAAGACCTCACATAGGAGATGACACTTGAGCTGAGCTTTGACGAGAACTAGGGATTTTAGTAAGTGTAGGTGAGGAGGGGATCCCTTCCAGGCATGGGGGATGTCCCGTTCAAAGCCATGGAGATGAGGGATAGAATATTGTGTACGAGGCAGGCTAAGCAAGCTGGTTTAGTACATACTGTCTCCTACTGAACTAGCTAGTCTTTCAACCGGTGGAGAGTCTAGGCACCAGGAAGAGAAAGGAATAGGAATGTGCTGTCTAGTGCCTTGACAGAGCAAGACCAGCACAGCTGGGCACACCCTTCAATCCCCACGTTCTCTCAGGCAGTTTGAGAGTCTGCTGTTTGAAGCAATTCCTTCTCTCCTCCAACACCCACACCTAAAGGAAGGAGGGAGAAGGCACAAGCTTCCACAGGCCACCTTCTGGCCAGCCGTGCCATGGGTCTGTGCTCAGAACTCCTCTGTCACTCCCGATTATTTTTTCCCCTGGCAGGGTCAACAAATCAATGAACAAGCAATTATTAAGCGCTATGTGCTAGAAACTGTGCTAGGCACTGGCGATAGATCCAAAGATAGAAATGAACAGTCCCTGGCCTCAAGGAGCTTACATTCTAGAGGAGGAGGCTATCTGTTTATATATTGGAAGTTACCAGAATAAATACGGTGTGGTTTTGTTGGGGCAGGGAGGCACTGGTTGTTAGGGACCTCAGGACAGTGCCCACATCAGAAGTGGCATTGCACCTGAGCTTTGATGGAAGCTAGAGATTCTACGAGAAGGAGGTCAAGAGTGAGTGTATTCCAGGCATGCGGGACAGCCTGTGCTAGGGGACAGAGATGGCGGATGGGACAAAGAACAGTAACAAGATAAGTTGGGCTGGAATGTTGTTCCTGAAAGGGGATTACCAAGACTGGAAAGGCAGGTTGGAGCCAGGTTGTGAAGGGTTTTAAACACCAAACAGAGAAGGTTGCATATAATTCTAGAGGTAAGAAGGCTCCATGGGAGGTTTGTCTACTGACGGGTTATCCCAAAGAGATGGAACTACAGCTTTTCAGTGCCCAGCGGGGGTCCAAGTCCTCTCAGCTCTCTAGCCAGCCTACTCCTGGAACTGAAGTCTCTAGGTCTATTCCTGAATCAGCGCTGTGGATGCTGGATGTTCATGGATACGCCTTGGATTTTGGTGGTGAAGATGAGTCTCCTATTTTGGAAAAATGGAGTCCCCTCCTCCCAGAGGCTCCGGTGGACGCCTGCTCCATGGAGAAAGTAAAACCTCCAACCCAATACTGCTCTCCCTGTTGCTTCTTTGGCCTTGTCCACGAAATGCTCCCACATGATCTGGGTTCATAGGGAAGTCCCGTCCTTTCACCTCCAATTCTGGTTTCTGTTTCCCCGCTCCTGGTTCTATTCTTCATCCTGGGGTTCGAGAGAAGAGAAGAAACAGAGGCACGGTGGACTTGAGTTCAAATTCTGGCTGTGATACTTGCTACTAAATGGCCTTGGGCAAATCACTTTATCTTTCTGGATCTCAGTTTTCTCCCCTGTAAAGTGAGGGGATTGAAAGAAATAACTTCTACGTTCTCTTCCAGTTTTAAATCGAGAAGCCCAAAAATACGGGTCCTGGGTTAGCCTCCTGCTAGAACTCTTCCACCTTTCTCTCACTGACCCCTAGGGCTTGGAGAGTCTCGCAAAATCCCAAAATTTCAGCCATACCAGAAAAAAAGTATCTCGTCTACAACGTACCGCCAAAGTGACCATCCAAGTCTCCTTGGAACCCACTCCCTCATGAGGCAACCCATTCCTCCTTGGGACAGCTCCCATTGTTAGGAAGTTTCCCTTTACCTTCCCAAGCCTAAATTGGCTTCTTCTCAACTTCTACCCATCTCTACTGGCTCTGCTCTTTTCAACAAAGCAGAGCAAAAAATCTAACCCTTCTTCCATAGGAGAGCCTTTTCAAATACCTGAAGGCATCTGTCAGGCGTGCTGCCAGCACTTATTCTTCTACCTAGTTCCTCTCTAGATTGCTGGGTCTGGAGTCAGGAAGACCTGGATTCAAATTCAGCCTCAGACGCTTATCATCTGTGTAACCCTTAACCTCTGTTTGCCTCATTTTCTTATAAAATGGAAATAATTACAGTACCTACTTCCTGGGGTTGTTGTGA